TACTACTAACGTACGTACTACGTACTACTACTACGTACTACTACTACTACTACTACTACTACTACTACTACTCTACTCTACTCTACTCTACGTCTCTCTCTCTCTCTCTCTCTCTCTCTCTCTCTCTCTCTCTCTCTCTCTCTCTCTCTCTCTCTCTCTCTCTCTCTCTCTCTTTCTCTCTCTCTCTCATGCACGCACACACGCGCACACACATATGCAAAATTTTACCCATGCAGAATTCCAGTTGTGCGAATAAGGAAGATAAAGGTTGACATGTGATCTGCAACTCCAGTTAGACAAACCACAGGGAGATGCAATGGAGGAGGAAAAGTAGAAAGAGGGAGGACGGCAGCCTAACCATTTTTTTGTGTCTTCCAAAAACACATATTCGATTCTTTTGTCTACTTAACATAGCAATTACCTAAATTCGATATGAAAAATATTCGAACATGTTCACAAATTACTGAGAGACCTAGAAACTACCCACTTACCTAGATACATCAAAAATTACTAATAACTGAAGCCATTGATACACTTCAAATTCAAACCATAAAAGGTTAGAACTTTTTTAATAAATATTTTGAAAGCTCCAGGATCTGATAGGTAGCTATTAAAAATCCAAGTCGATTCTGAATTGAAGACTATTGTTTTCACCGTCAAGATAAGAGTACCGTCATATATTTTGAAGTTGAGGAGTACGCAGTTCATCTTCTCTCGTGTTCTTTGAAACATTTACATTTTCCGGAGTTCCCGGTACATCCATCTAGATAATTTTTTATGGGCATCCAATATGGTGTTTTCTCTACACTTCAGAAAATTGTATTGTAACATTCTAACTGCAATGCAAAGTTAATGCACGTTGAATGAACTCTGAAGAGGAAAAAGTGAATCAGGAAATTATTTATGTAGTGAGTAAATTACCTAAAGTTGCGATAGTTCCACTCTAATGTTATTCATATTATACCTTCAAGTGGCAAGAGAATGATGATCAAAATAGTGCTTTCAATCTTAATGACTTTAACAAAAATGATATGAGAAAAATAAAATAAGTAATTTTTCCATTTAATTTTAACTGATTTCATTGTTTCATAAAATGTATGGACAAGTATCTTTTCGTATACTGAAAGACACTAACTTATTATCTGAGGGGAGATTACTGATCTCTGAATTGACAAGCCTTAATATTTCATCACAGCATTGCTATTGCCAGCAAAAGTAAGCCAAGTTATGCTTCACATACCTGTCAAATTCCCAACCGTTTAAGAAGAAAAAAAACAAAATGGGCAAGAGAAGTGCATATAGTCCAAGCCCAACAAGGAGTTAAAACAAGTGACAAAAAAAATTGAGAAAATCGACAAGAGAATTCAATGCCAAAGCCAACAAGCAATTAAACAAGTAAAGCCAAGAACCCTATCAAACTCTCTTAGAAAGAGAAAGAAGAGCTGACCATCTCCAGCAGCGGCATTGGTGGCCTTGGCGACCTGCTTCACGAGGTTCGCACCAACATTCTTAGCTTTGTCCTCGAACTCAATGCTTTTTCCAACCGTCACCCCATCCTTTGTCACCTTTGGAGCACCACGGCTTTGCTCAATGATCACATTGCGTCCCTTTGCAAACAATCAAATTAGAATAAAAAAGGAACCCAATTCAGCAAATAGAAAAGAGCACAACTCAGCAACAGAAAACCCAACAAACATCAATAAAGATAAAAATCCAGAAAGCAGATGTAAAGAGCGACAGATTCAGCAAAAGAAAACCCAACAATGATTCAACAAAAGCAAATGCCAAGCCCAAGAGTCAAAAAAAAAGATAAACCAATTCACCAAAGAGAACCCAACAAGCAAGGAACACATCTCGCCCAAAAAACCCGGCCACTGACATTGGCGATAATGAGTAAAGACGAGAGAGGGAGGTGGGGGAAGAGAACCTTTGGACCCATGGTCACTTTCACCACATCTGCGAGCTCTTCCACTCCCTGCAACATCGCAGCACGAACACCGACCCCAAATTTGATATCTTTCGCCCCATAATTCCTGACCCATGGGATCCCACTCCAAAGCTTTTGTTCAAAATGAAAAGGCAAACAAAGTGAGAGAACAAGTCCCAAAAAAAGGCCAAAAAGAAAATACAGGGCTCATACATAGCTCACGTCATACCAACATGAACTTCAAAGAGAAACGCAATAAAAAAATACATAACCTGTTCCCTTGAAGGGGAGGCTCTGGCAAAGAAAGAAAAATGACCAGTTAGAGAGAGAGAGAGAGAGAGAAATTTCAGAGGTTTGGCATGAGGTTGGTTACCTGATAATTGAGGAAGCAGCAAGACGAGTTGCTGCATCCGCTGCTCTGTACATTACTGAGACTGACGAGTGGCCACTTTTCTGTTTCCTGGTTACAAAAATGATGGTGTTAAGGGCTTATGAAGGATTTAAACGCTTGTGCTCTTGAGTTTCACAGAAGGAAAAGAAAATACATTCTGCTCTTGTGGTCCCGTGAGACCACTGTACACCCATGGTCTCTACAGAAGTTGGACGATCTTTAGGATTGGAGGATTTTGGGATGATCTTTGAACCACATGTTAATAATTTCACAGTTAAAAAGGAATATATGATTATCAGCTCTCACTAGAACTGATCCCCTTGGGATGGAAGGTTCATTGTAGGGTTTAGAGAATTGGAATTGGGGTCCGACTGAGTCCAAACTCCTCGTCCTTTTGGAAGTAGATTTCCAGAGAGTGTCACATAGAGCTTTGTTGAAGGCTTTGGCCTACCATTTATCTGGGGTGATACACGGTCGAGTATTTCCACTCGAAGCTGAATTTACTTACCAAGCAATTGACATGTTGGCATTGAAACTACGAGCAATAATCTGAGATGATTAGATTAGATTTCGAGTTCTTAGGTTAACCGGACTGATACCTTAGGTATGTGACACAATTTTCAAAATTTTGCTAGAAGCGATATAAAGTAAGCCACCTAGGTCATCAAAGAGACATGGAGTGTATCGCAGAAGCAATCAGAGCAACACAAAGTGTATCGCAGTTGACTGTCAAGTATCAAACTTAGAGATCCTGGACCTGAACTAAAACACTTTTTGACTTTTTTGGAATAAAAAACATAGGAAAATAGGAAGATATCTAACGTATTTTTTGCAAAGACTTAGCTCAAAGGGCCCACGGTGAGCATTAATCTGTTTACAGTGTAAAATCAGAGAGATCTTCTAATCAAGATCCCCTGATCTGACATTACAAACTTGTTATTTCATAAATGATAAAAAAGTGAGATCAACCGAATTATGATCTAAGATCCAATCTATTTAAATATGAATAGATCTTCTCTTAAATCAACGGCAGAGCTGATATTGATCATTGCAAAAAATACTAAAAGAAAAACTATAAACTAATTCATATCTAATTAATAACTGAAATGAAGTAGAAATGGTGAAAAGAGACTTACTTGACCTGGCTGGTTGGCCCAGGACACCCAAGGCTTTAAAGCCTCGCTCGTATTAGGACGGTGGTTGAGTTTACATTTTGTGCCATCCTTTTTCTCTTCGGACTCTGACCAAGCCTTGGCTTGGTTGGATAAGGTTATTGGTTGTTGACGTAAAGGTTGAAGATTACTTTTAGGGTTTCTCAATTGGATAAATGGACCGAGGTGACTAAGGGTGATTGATTGCATTCATAAGCATCTAAGCAAGACTTGATTGACCAACCCTAAAGAGGTCGGATTCAAGTCTTTTATAGACTTCCGAGGGGTTGGGAATCGATTTATAATGCTTACTTAGTCGGTTAGGGTTCAAAATCCGAATATATAATGGTCAGCAAAATCCGATGGTTATAACTTGAGCGACACAAAGTGTTTCGCTCTTGTCAAACGTGACCAGTTGGCACAATTTGTGTCGCATGAGCCAATACTGAACAGATACACTGAACAAACGCAATTTGGTCTAGGCGATACAAAGTGTGTCACCCTGGTCAAACTTAACCAGTCGATACAGTTTGCGTCACAGTACCTTATACTGGTCAAATGTAGTGATCAGACACCATATGGATTGGGCGACAAACTTTGCATCGCCCTGGTCCGAGTGTAGCCGAATTCCAAGATTCCGGGAGTTCAAAACAGTTTTAGTAATAATGTAATTCTAATTACATGTAAGTTAAACATCATAAACTAGGAATTCTCAAAAACCCACCCAAAAGAATCCAATTTATAAAAAAAATAAATTGAAAAAAAGAAAAAGAATATTGCATAATACAAACAATGATTCTCAAGTCAAATAGGATAGGGAGGATGGAATCACCTAGTTCTCTTAGTTTTCTAGTTTTATAATTTTAATATCCGTGTTAAATATATCCCAATCTAACTAGAGATCGCCAGAATTACACTGGTTAAATAAAAAATAGATGCCTCAAAGTCAGTTCTCTATTATGATCTCAGAGACACTCAAAACAACAATTAATAAGCATTAAAATATAAAAAACGAATTATTAGACAATAGTTATGGAAATGATAGGAATTGAGAATATAAGATATATCTCTATTTCTAATCTTCCACAAAATTTACATCCCAAAATTGATTGTGTTAACTTGATGAAAATAATACATGCAAGAAATTTTGTATAGTGAACTTAAATTATTAATCAGTTGAAAATGGATGCCAATGAATTCATGCTAAATTCAAATATCCCTAAACAAGATGATTGTTAGTAATTAATTGATGTTAAAATTGAATCGATTTTTAGTTTCTTACCATGAATGTGAAACATTTTGCCTATAAAAGATATATAAATCAATTGGAGAAACAAAAATGTGTATCTCAATAGAAAACATCAGGATCTTTATTATGCATCTTCTGAGAAACCTTATATCATAAAATTCCACTTGTAATAAGCATCAATAGATAGATTCATAGCTGTAGTATGAATAGTCATGGTAAAATCATTAACTTCTTAATTATATCCCTATAAAGTTTTAATGAATTAGAGCAATAATAAAATCATAAATAGTAGAAAAAGGGTAAATAAAAAACGTGAATTTTACACTCTAAGATTATATCACATTAGAAATTTCTATGAATTAGTGTTCGAACAAAATCATAAATAAAAAAACAGGCATTGACTTAAAAATCCTACCAAAGTATCTATCAACTACAGTTTGATTTTGTAACCTGTAAGATAAATTAAAACGATAAATAAATAACCAAAAAGGGGGGGGGGAAAAAAAAGTAGCAAAAAGGTTGAAACAAGAATTTTAATTTAAGATAATGATTTCTCCATTATTGCATATTTATCTTAATCTTCGTTTTTTCTCCATCTGCTCTAATCTTTCTCTCTATATAAATTCATCTTTAATGAATTGATATTGCCCAAAAATCATTCTCTAAATTTTAAAAGAAACTTCAAATTTATTGTTTCATGTAATTTACCTTTATCAACCCCCTTCCATGTTACTATATTCTTTTTTCTTTCCTCTGTTTGTTTGTTTTAGTTTTTTTTTTTTTTTTCTTTTTTTTTTTTTCCAATTTTTGCCTTCCAAAAATTGCTGTTTTGTACAAGATACCTCTCTTATTTTTTCTTTTTCTGTTTTTTTTTTTAATGTTACTTTTTTTTCTCTCATGATCCAAAGAACTGAGTTGAAAACCCTTAAATACTCACTTAGAAATTGTTTAAACTAAAAGAATTTTTCCCTAAAACTATGAATTAGAACACGACTTATAATAAACAATCAAAAGCCTCTTGTAGTCGTGTGTTTTGCGGCCAATTAAACATCTAGTTGTTGAATTAAACAATCCAACTTTTCATGGTAAAAGGTATGTCGGCTTTCCCTGTCATTGGTTTTTATGATTTGAGATATGCTTGAGTCCAATTAAATCGTTCACTTGGGTATCACAAAACCTAATAATAGTAGTAGTAATAATAATAATAATAGTAATAACAATAGTAATAGTAATAGTAATAATAATAATAATAATAATAATAATAATAATAATAATAATAATAATAATAATAATAATAATAATAATAATAATAATAGTAATAA